CCTTGCTAACGAGCCTGCTAACAAGCCTGAACCCCCCTCACTCACCTTAATCGGTTCCGAGGAGGAGTCAAGCCTGGGCAGCAAATCATAATTTAAGCACCACTTAGGACTCATAACTCAGACTTAAAACTTCTAGTTTGGTGGGTTTTTTTCCTCCCTTTAAAAATTATTTTTCAGCTCACCAAAACTATCTGTGATGTTAAATACAGCAGAGATTTAGAGTTCTCACTACATGAAGAAAGATGGTGATTGGGAGGAAGAGGATTAGCTGATTCAAAATGTATCAATAGATTAATTTCAATCCATCTGGCTAGTTCACTGTTGACTTTTAGATGTTTATTCTCCTTTACTGTCTATAAAATCAATGGAAGAAGTATGAAAGTATTTGAAGACATCATCGTCCTTTACTGTAACCAGGGAAGAATTGGTCAAGTAGTGTCTGCAATATCTTGTTAGGAACCATGGCGTTGTTCTTTCCAAGGTCATAGCGGCAGGCAGGACAGGCAAAAACTTCAGCTCGGAAAGAGCGTTGTAAACAGCTCTGGGGCATATAAAGACAAAGAAGTAAGTGTTACAGCTTTTACTTTACATCAAAAATGTAGCCAGCAAAAAATAAGAAATTACTAGGAATCAAAGATGCAGTTTCCCACATTTCCAGAAACAGCAAGTTCTTACCAAGTTATCTTGCCATATTTTTGCCTTTACAACTGAAATAGTGTACTGGGTCTGGCTGGGATGGAGTTAATTTTCTTCATAGCAACCTGTATGGTGCTGTGTTTTAGATCTGTGACTAAACCAGTGTTGATAATACACCAATGTTTTAGTTATTGCTGAACAGTGCTTGCACAGCATCAAGGTTTTCTCTATTTCTCATTCTGCCTCCCCAGCAAGTAGGTTGGGGATGAGCAAGAGGTTGGGAGGGGACACAACTGGGACAACTGACCTCAACTGACCAAAGGGATATTCCATGCCATATACTGTCATGCTGGAAGGTGATCTTTCCAAAGTAGTCATTTCTTGGAGACTGGCTGGGCATTGGTCTCCTTGTGAGAGGTGATAAGTGAATGCCTTTGCATCACATTTTTTTCCTTTTCTTTTTTTTTCCTCTTCACTTATTAAACTGTCTTTATCTCGACCCATGAGTTTTTCTCACTGTGGAGAGGATTGAGTGAGCAGCTGGTGGGTGCTTATTTGCTGGCTGCAGTCAACTCATCACAAAGGACTTAACCAAAGAGATCTTTTGATTAGGAGGCAAAGCCTTGAGTCTGTCAGGAGTGAAAAGTGTTACTACTGAAATACTTCACTTTCCCTGATGTGTTCCTATGAATCAGTCTGTAGTTTCTTTCTAGCATTTCTGTTAGAATGCTGTAAGTATTCCAGAGTTTCATTTCAAGATGTAACTGAAAATACAGGTGTATAGCATTTTATCTAACAATCCATAGTTACTTCACTTCTATGACAAGACTCAGTGTTTAAGCCTCAGGAGTAGAATAAAATAGGTTTCAGACTACAGTATCTAAAATATTTAATGTTGCCTTCTTTTTTTGTTTGTTTTCCAAGACTGCAGACAGTCCAAGTATATAAGTTAAATATGAAAATTTTATGAGGGCCAATCTTTTAACAAGCAACAACACTGTCAGTCTATACCTTAAAACAGTAATTGGACATTAGTTTATAATTAGTCATTGATATCTTCAGATTCTATGCTTTAAAGTTGTTTCCATTAAACATTCTCAATGTTTTTTCCACCAGTCTATTAACCTCATCATAATACTTTACCTCTATGTAACAAGCAGCTCTTTGAAGGAGCAGTCTTGTTCTATTCTAATTTCTTAGCTACATAAAATTAACTTAATCTTTTTGTGCCAACAATGCTCCTGGAACAAACCAATCACTAGCATAACTCCACTAATTACAATGAAGTAATAAACTTGATACATCATGTCTATAAGAAATTATACTAAATACATTTCCATTTTTTTTTACATAAAATTAAAATTGATTATATGGCAGCCACACAACTGGAAGCAAACATGTTACATTTCTTGTTCAGACTGCTAGACAATAATTATTGTCTTCCTAAAATATATGTTGTTTTTGGTGATCAATGTCTCAGGGCCAAGAACACAGTCCAGAGCAATACAGGGATTATTCTTACTTTACAGACGTTGTGGAGACACTCTGTTGTCACTGGCTGGTAAACCAGCTCCTGACAGCAGACACACATAAAAGATTGTTCCAATTTCTTCAGGAAATTCTAGTATAGGATGAAAGAAGAGAAAAGTAGAACTATTAGAGGCACATTCACAAATATGTAAACAAAAAAGGGAATTTTTAGTAAAAATTATTAGTTTAAAAAAAACCCTAATTTGCCTAACAATTGCAAATATTACCTATATTTAAATTTTAAATTCACAATCAAATTCACAGACCTAAACTCAGTAAAAAATTTGGCCTTTGTAGCATTTAGTAAATGCAGAGATACATTTATGAGATACTTGTTTAACATCCTTATTACTCCTCCCAAAATCACAGTTAGTATCATCTAATAGAGCTACACAACTGCTAGGAGTTGTTAAATCTCCTAAATAAAATTAAATATTCAGTGTGATAGACAGCTTGACATTGCAAAGATTGCTTACACTGAAACTTTTCAAGTGTGACCATCATGTCTCAGTCCAAGTTACAAATTTCCTTCCAAAGCCTACCACAATTGCTCCTGTATTCATGGATATTTACATAAGGGCATTCCCACACCCTCTGCTATTACCTCTACCTGTTTCTGCTTATTCCCTATATTATTGTTGTTCACGGCTTCTTGTTCATTCTTATTTCGTCAGAAGTGAACCTCTATTGTGTTCAGTGAAAAGCATACATTTAATAAATTATGTTTATTACATTAAAAAAATTTTTGAAAGCTCATATCCTTCACATCCATGAGAAGTAGTGTGGTTAACAAAGTATTTAGAAAACAAGTCCATGAACAATTAATTTCCCTGCTTTTCATAGAATGGCCTGGGTTGAAAGGGACCTTAAAGATCATCTAGTTCAAAGCCCCTGCCATGGACAGGGACACCTTCCACTAGACCAGGTTGCTCAGAGCCCCATCCAACCTGGCCTTGAACACTTCCAGGGATAGGACATCCACAGCTTCTCTGGGCAACCTGTGCCAGTGCCTCACCACCCTCTCAGTAAAGAAGTTCTTCCTAACATCTAATTTAAACCTACTGTCTTTCAGTTTGAAGCCATTCCCCCTCATCCTGTACACACCCTTGTAAAAAGTCCCTCTCCATCTTTCTTGTAGTCTCCCTTAAGGTACTGGAAGGCCCCAGTTAGGTCACCCCAAAGCCTTCTCTTTTCCAAGCTGAATAAACCCAGTTCTCTGAGTCTTTCCATGTAGGAGGAGGTGCTCCATCCCTCTAATCATCTTGGTGGCCCTCCTCTGGACTCACTCCAACAGGTCAATGTCCTTCCTGTGTTGGGGCCCCCAGAGTTGGATGCAGTACTCCAGGTGGGGTCTCATGAGAGCAGAGGGGCAGAATCCCTTCCCTCATCCTGCTGGTCACACTGTTTTTGATGCAGCCCAGGATACAATTGGTTTTTTGGGCTGCAAGCGCATATCACCGACTCATGTCCAGCCTCATCCACCAGCAGTCCCAAGTCCTTCTTGGCAGGGCTGCTCTCGACCTGTTCATCCCCCAGCCTGTATTGATACCAGGGGTTACCCAGATATCAGTTTTCCAGAAGACAGAGAACTAAAATTTTGAAAGTCATTTGGTTGTACATTATTATGATTAAGAACAAAACAGAGATCCCATCAAACCTGATTCTTGGCACAAGTCAGAGAATTTGGAAGCTGATATCTGTATTTAGTGATCATCGCTATAATTTTGCACATTGGTGATGGCTAAGTGGTTGCTGCTGCTCTGCAAAGGGAAAGCAAAGTACTGTATACCTCTTTCACTAAGAAATTCACCTTTGCACCTGCTGGAGGTATTTAATTGGTTTCTTGAGTCCTCACTGAAATAATCTGCAATAGGTAAAAGAACCTTCCTGTTTTTCAGTCTTCTCAAAATAACTCTGAAGAATGTGGGATAAATTTTGTGCCATAGATTTTACACATACAAGCATACTTACATAGTCTCAAGCATACTCACTCAAGTATAGAAGTGTAAAAAACAGATCTAAAGTTACTCAAAATATAGTTATTTTCAATAATTTTAATAGCATCAGATTCATCTCAACTCAAAACTTATAATTAAAGTAGAACTGTTGTTTCAAACATTAAGATTTATATTTTCATTGTAGCTATCTGCAATGGTAGCTGCATGATTTCCACTGGAATTTTTATATGGCTATCACAAAAGGCAATCAAAATTATGGGCAGGAATCTATAGGAAAATAACTTTCTTGTAACTGGATTTCTCTTAAGATAGTGTTTTCTGTTGCTTTAGAAACACATATCTACTGTATTCTGTCATATAACTAAGTCGAAAGTCTAATTATTTACAAACATCAGACAACTCACTGATAAACAGCTTATAACTTTATAGTATCAGCTCCTATACAAGTACAGTAGTATTATAGCAATAGTAGTATTGTAAGTGGAAGAAAAAGGAGTTACCAGATGTTTTTTTCTGTCAAAGAAGCAAAGTAAAACAGCCCCTGGCAATATGGAAATAAAGTGATTTTGTACATTCATTTTTAGGCATCCATTCTCCATATAATATTTTGGTCTTTCACTGACTTGATAGTGACCTTTACCATTCTGATATCTTGATTTCTTTTGCTTCTGCAAAACAGCTAAAATAACTATGAATTGGAACATAAATAAAAATAATTAATGCTCAAGGACATAATATTTTGTAGGATATTCCATTAGCGACTAATTAAAAAAAAATTCACAGGTGTCTCCAAACTTGAACTACCCTTGCTATTTTCTTGACAGCTGAGGAGGGAAATATTTCCTCTTTTTTACTTAAGGTTCTCTCTATCATGGGTGAAATAATCTGCTAAACTTGAGTTAAAATATTTTCATTTGATATCTAAGTCTCAATATGACAGTATTTCTTCTATATCTTGAAGTGAATGAAATTACATGCCCCATCAACTGTTTCTAAACAGATAGTATGTGTTCAGCAATTTTAAGCAAGCAAACTAGGTTTTAACAAAGCCTTATTTCTCCCAACTCTATATAAAGAAAGGTTAAAAATGAGTAATTTAAGCAAGTTGCAAGCATACTGGTCCTTCCTTAAGAGAAGCAAGTACTTCATCCCACAATTTCTGGTTCATAGAGTCCTCTTTAATCAACCACTGCTGTTGCTGGGTCAGTTGGAAAGCTTCTCCTTTCCCTCCATCTCCCATTCTCATGGTTTTGGATGTATTTTTAGTCTCCTCTATACCTGTTTAAAATTATGACAAGATACAGTAACAGTGGTGGTTTGAACTATTAAAAAGGGAAGACAAAATTATTTCTAGAAAGCTAAAACATTAATCACATCTATGTAATGATGCAATAAAGCTACAATTCAAATTGCCCAGATTTATTTTGAACTATAGATCATAACTACATAGAAAATTGTTCATTTTTCTGTGAAGTTTAAGAAAAAGAAACCTTACAAGTATGGAAGAGCACCATAAGATCCCCAGTTTCCCATTTTATTACTGAGCACTTAACACACTACATTTGGATTCCAAATGACTTCCAACTTCCTTGTAATTTTCATACTATTGGCTTAACTTGACAGAGCTCTAAGAAGTAAAATGAAATACCATCATCAATTGTCCTTTTCTGGTTTCCATTACTCTGGCTGGTTGGCTCTTGCTTCCCACTTTGCTTCTTAACCTTATTCTTTTTCTCTTTACTAGCCATAGCTTCCAAATAACCTTCTGGATACTAAAAAAACCATGAAAACCAGATTTAAAACAAAATCAAATGGCATCTGGGAATTCCCAAATATTGACAAGTTTATTTTCTAAAAGAATGTAAATCCCTATGACTACATATTAAAATAATATAAAAATATTTTTAAAACCCTATATAAACAGGAAAGCTCTTGAATTAACATAGTTTTAGAAAACTGTAGTTAAGTCAAAGGATCTGATATAGATCTACAGATTTTACTAAAAGGCACCTTATATCCATATCTACAGCTCTAATTACACAAATCAGAAAGCTAAAGTTGATGTCATGTAGCAAAACAAGTCATCCAAAGGAAATTATTGACTTGCTGAGAAAAAAAAAATACTACTTTCATTCTTCTCATCTACCACAAATTTCACAGTGTCAGAGTTCCTGCCTGAAATATGTTATCTGTAATAGTTCCTCAATAATAGGTTGCAATTAGAGAAAAATACATAAAAGCATATATATATTTAAATTCTAAGAAGAGACTCAACTATTATAAGAGTTACTTTTATAAATCTTATTCAATGTAAGGATCACAAAACTGTATTCAAAGTTATTTTCTAAACCATATATACAGAGTAATTTCCGTTAAAGCAGAAAGTTTAATCCACAATTCTTTCTGCTTTGCAATTATCATAGTTTTCAAATTACAAATATTTCTAAAATATCAAAATATTTTATATTAGATCCTACCTCATTGTAGTACATTAATAATGGACCTTAAATTTTATTCACAGTCCTAGTTTTAAAATTTGAGACTCCATTTACTTGAATAGAATATCAGAGAAACTTTGTGAACACTGATTCTGACCTGTATATTCAGACCCAGTTTCTTTGACCGTTCCATCCCTTCTGAAGTCCAGGGTGGGGGTTCAATATCATCTCTCCTCAGAAGATAGCACCAAACTAAGAACCCACATTTTCCAATTTCTGGCCAATATTTTACCACCTAAGGATAAATAACAACAGGTTTATATTTTTGCTATCACAGTAGATCATAGAATCATAGAATGATTTGGGTAGGAAGGGACCTTAAAAATCATCTAGTTCCAACCTCCCTGCCATGGGCAGGCATGCTACCCACTAGATCAGGTTGCTCAGGGCCCCATCCAACCTGGTCTTGAACATTTCCAGGGATGGGGCATCCACAACTTCTCTGGGTAACCTGTTCCAGTACTTCACCACCCTCTGAGTAAAGAATTTTTCCCTAATATCTAATTTAAACCTGCCCTCTTTCAGTTTAAAACCATTTCCCCTCGTTCTGTCACTATCTGCCCATATTAAAAGTCTCTCTCCCAGGTACTGAAAGGCTGCAATGAGGTCACCCCGAAGCATCCTCTTCTCCAGGTTGAACAACCCCAGCTCTCTCAGTCTGTCTTTGCAGGAGAGGTGCTCCAGGCCTTTGATCATCTACATGGCCCTCCTCTGGACCTGCTCTACCAGGTCCATGTCTTTCTTGTGCTTGAGGACCCCAGACCTGGACACAGTACTCCAGGTGGGGTCTCACAAGGGCAGAGTAGAGAGGGAGAATCACCTCCCTTGACCTGCTGGCCATGCTTCTCTTGATGGAGACCAGGATGCAGTTGGCCTTCTGGGCTGTGAGCACACACTGCTGGCTCATGTCCAGCTTTTCATCCACGAGAACTCCCATGTCGTTCTTGTCAGGGCGGCTTTCCATGACTTCTCCCAGTCTGTACTCACGTCTAGGATTGCCTTAACCCAGGTGCAGTACTTTGTACTTGGACTTGTTGAACTTCATGAGGTTCTCGCGGGCTCACTTCTCAAGTTTGTCCAGGTCCCACTGGATGGCATCCTTTCCTTCTGTTGTGTCAGCTGCACCACTCATCTACATGTCATGCTGAGGGTGAATTTGATTCCACTGTCTATGTCATTAATGAAGATATTAAAGAGCGCTGGTCCCAAGACAGAGCCCTGAAGGACACCACCCATCATTGGCCTCCACCTGGACATAGAGCCATTGCCCATAACTCTCTGGATGCATCCATCCAGCCAATTCCTAATCCACTGAATAGTCCATTGTCATGGTTTGAGATAGCCCCAAAATCCAATTCTCTAGCTCCATCCCCCCTCCCACATCTCAACCTAATGTGAGATGGGTTTTTCCAGACAAAACACAATCAGACTCAAAGTGGGGGAGAAGGGAATATGTTACAATGACTGTACAAATAAATACTATAACACATTATACACACGATCACAACTATCTCTACATATAGTATTTACAATGGATCAGATCTCTTCTCCCCTCCAAATAAAAGTCCAGGAGGGAAAGAAGGACAGATCCCTTCCAGTCCCAAAGCAGGAGTCTCTTCTAGGGCGGCAGGTCTCCTCATCTCATGCATGCAGCAGTAACTGGATTGTTGTAGCTGGATCTCTGTTCAATACACACAAGGGGGTCTCCAAGCCCCTCGGCTCTCCTTCGGTCCAAGCGAAGGTCTCACCTGTGGGTTGCCAGTAGGGACCAGACTCGCGTCACCACAGGTATATCACGAAATGCAGGGGCATCTTCGTGAAAGTCCCTTCCTCAGGGGATTCAAATTCCCCTTTGCAGAGCTCCGTGTTCTGCCTCAAGGCAGCGGGGGGGGCGAAGCCCTCCTCCACATTCCTCTCCATCCCGGTCCAGCTTCCCAGGACGCTCTGAGCTTCCCAGCTCCTCTCTGCAAGTGCTGTAGCACTCCAAGGCTCTTTCAAGTAAGAGTCCATCATCTTCCTCCTTTCCAGGAGGTCTCAAAGGAGTTTGGGGGGTCTGGTATCAGTTCTTACCCCCAGAACTCCGTAACTCTGCTGCTAGCTTCTGCTGCTTCCTCCGGTTCAGTTCTTATCTGTCCTGGTTCTTAGCTAGAGTCTCTGGACACTGCCGCCGCTTCTGCTCTGTCTCTGCTCACTCAAGATGGAAAACATCTCCCAGTTCACAGCTACAGACACATAGTCCAGCTTAACACTGTTCCAAGTCTCCGTAGCCCCAACTGGGGCTGGGGGGCCCCAGAGGCCCCGAGGGGCTCCAGGCCCCTTTCCTCGTGGCTCCTACAACATGGCTACTTCTTCTAACCACCAAACTACAACTCTTCTCTTCCGGTCAGTTTGTGATATGTTTACATTTCTGCAGGAGCGCTCATTGGACAGAACTTCAAAACTTCCAGGGGTTTCCACCCCTGGGGGTTACCACTTTTCTTAGCCTCTGGGGGAAAACAAGGTTCAAACCACTACATCCATACAGCAAATCCATGTCTCTCCAATTTGGATATAAGGATGTGTCATGGTTTGAGAGCCCCAAAAATCCAATTCCCTAGTTCTAGCCCCCTCCCACATCTCAACCCAGTGTGAGATGGGTTTCCAGACACCACACGAGACTCAAAATGGGGGGAAGGGATTATATATTACAATGACTGTACAAAATAAATATTACTATACATTATATACAATCTTAACTACCTCTACCAGGACATAAAAGTATTTACAATGGATCAAATATCTTCTCCCTTCCAAATAAAAGTCCAGGAGGGAAGAAGGAAAAGATCCCTTTCCACTCTCAGAGCAGCATTGTCTCTAAGGCAGCAGGCATCTATCCTCTTCTCATCCAGCAGCTGTAGCTGGATCTCTGCCAGTACACATGAGGGGGTATCCAAGCCCCTTGGCCCGTCATCTCCAAGCGAGGGTCTTCTCTTCCATGGGCTGCGTAGCAGAGACAAAACTCACTTCACCACGGTCATATCATGGGGTGTAAAACCCCCATGAAGGTCCCTTCCTCAGGGGATTCACCCCTGAGTCAGAACATCTCGGGCAGCTTTCAGTTGAAGGCCTTTGCCTCAAGAGTTCTATCAGAGCTTCTGTGCTCTGATCTCAGGTTGCTAGCTTAGCTTGGCAGCAGTGGCGGGGGGGGGGGGGGCCAAGGTCACCCCCTCTGCATTCCTTTGGTCGTCCTAGTCCAACTTTCCAGGACGCCTGAGTTTTTCAGTTCCTCTCTGCAGTGCTACTGCACTTCACACCTCCCTTCTAGGAGGGGTCTCCAAGGAGTTTGGGGTCTTTTGGTTCAGTTCTTACCCCAAAAACTCTGTCTGTAGAGTTTAGTGTTGTCCTCTCTCTCTGCTGCTGACTCTCTTTCTCCTTCCAGGAGTTCTCTCTGTGTTACTGCATGTCTGTTGTTACTGCTCGGTCTTTTCTGGTTCTCTGCCACCGTTTCTCTGGTCAGTACAGTTCTGCCACTGCCACTGCTACTGCTGCTGCTGACAGTGGAGAAGCATCCCCCAGTTTCCTAACTACAGGTACTTAGCCCAGTCTTACACTGTTCCAAGTCCCTGTAGCCCCCAACCAGGGGCTGGGGGAGGCCCAGCCCCCAGTGGGGCTGTTGCTGCTTCTCCTCATGTCTTCACAACGTGGCTACTTCTTCTACAACCACAACTACCTTCTCTTCTGTTCTGCTTGTGATATGTTTATATTTTGCAAATGCGCTCATTGGTTCAAACTTCAAGGGTTACTACCCCCTGGGGTTTTACCATTTTATAACTTCAGGGGGAAAACTGTTTCCCTCCACCACAGGATGTCATGTGGGACCTTATTGAAGGCCTTACAGAAGTCCAGATAAATGACATCTGTTGGTCTTTCCTTGTGACCCGTTGCCATCACTCCATCATAGAAGGCCACCAGATTGGTCAGGTCCTTAGTGAAGCCATACTGGCTGCTTCAGATCACTTCCTTGTCTTTCATGTGCCTTAGCGTATCTTCTAGGAGGATCTGTTCCATGATCTTCCCAGGCCCAGTGGTGAGGTGTCGCGACGGAAAGCTCTAGACACTTAATGTAAGAATCCAGGAACTTCGTTTATTGTAGATTGACAGCAGCTTAATATACACTCTATAATAGGCTCATGAATATTACAGAAATTAGGCTCATTATTGGTCCACAGTTAGGTGGTGATATCATTTTAACTGCCTTACATTGTTTACACAGGTGGCTCGTTAAGTGTCTTTGTTTTGGTAATGCCAAGCTCCTGTTTTTCAGCTCAATTTAGAATACCCAAAGACATTGCCGCTTTCTCACGGCCCTGCTGTCTGAGACTTTCTCATGGGCCTAGTCAGACTGCGTCTTATACTTTAGCAGCTCATCCATAGCTTTAGCTATATCCATATGCCCTTGTCCTGCTAGCTAATCCCCTACAGTGAGGCTCACCGATCTGTGGTTCCCCAGGTCTTCCTTTCTCCCCTTTTTAAAACAGATGCAATGTTTCCCTTTTTTCAGTCACCAGGGACTTCACCTGACCACCATGACTTTTCAAATATGATGTAGAGTGGTTTGACAACATCAACCAGTTCCCTCAGGACCCTGGGATGCATGTCATCACACCCCATAAACTTGTGGCTATGCAACTTCGCCAAGTGGTCCTGAACCTGCTCTTCGCTTATAGTGGAAGGGACTTCACTCCTTCCCCCACCCACCCAGAGGATCAGGGACTTGAGAGATGTGGGAAGCCTGACTGCCAGTGAAGACAGGCAAAGAACTCATTGAGTACCTGAGTCTTATCCATATCAGTCACCACCAGTTCACCCTTCTTGCTTATTGGGGTGGGGTACACTCTCCTTGGCATTTCTTTTCTGAACTATGTACTTATAGAATCCCTTTTTGTTATTCTTCACATCCCTTGCCAAGTCCCGTTCCATCTGTGGCTTAGCTTTCCTGATCCCATCCCTACACATTTGAACCATATCCCTGTACTCCCCAGGTTACCTTTCCCTGCTTTCACTGGCTGTGTATTTCTTTCTTACTCCTTAGTTTGAGGAGCAGATCCTTACTCAGGCACACCAGTTTCCAGCCTGCTGTGCTCGATTTCCTACAGACTGGGATAGAGAGTTCTAGTGCTCTAAGAAATGTGGCCTTAAAGAGTTGCCAGCTCTAGTCAGCTCCTCTGTCTTTAAGGACAGGTACATGGTACCCAG